TGAGTGTATATTTTTTCATGCTTTTTGTTTGTATAAATGCTAATGATTTATCAACTTTGAATGCTGGGAAGCAACTTTGTATTATTTCAGCTCTTATATCTCTAGGTTTGTTTTTGCTTTACTTTTCATTACACAAATTATTTCTGTTAGGTGATTAAATATGAAATGTCCAATTTCAAATAAAAATTTTAGTTTATTAAATCTCATGCAAGAAACAGTGCAGTTAATCAAAGTATGTACCTAAACTATTGACATGGGTTTGCCATCTTAACAGTAGCTTGCTTATGCCAGCAGCGAATAAGCCTGGAGAGCGAGTGGCAATGAAATCATGAAAGGTGTTCTCCACAGCTTGTTGAGAATTTAATATTTTTCCTTGCAAGAAGTGGTCCAAAGCCTGGAAGAAGGGGAGATCAGTTGTTGCAAGGTCTGGTGAATACAGTGGGTGACAGAGAGTTTCCAAGTTCAGATGCTGTAGCTTGAGCCGCATTGTTTTTTGTGACATGTGGTGTTGCAAGAGGATTGACCTGTCTCTATTGACCAATCTCGGCTGCTTAATCACAAGCATCCTCATCATTTCATCCAATTGGTTGCAGTAGACATCCACTGTAATTGATTGACTAGGTTTCATGAAGCTATAGTGGATAATGCCAGCACTGGACCACCAAACAGACACCATTATCTTTTTTGAATGAGTATTCAGTTTTGGACTGTATTTACGCACTTCATCTTTATCCAACCATTTTGCCAAACACTTAAAATTGTCAAAAAATCCATTTTTCATCACACATAACAATACGGTGTAGAAATGGTTTACCTTTATGGTGTGACAGCAAAGAAAGGCAAGCTTTGAGATGATTTCTGATGATCGCTTAATTCACGTGGTACCCATCTATCCAGCTTCTTTTCCTTGCCCATTTGTTTCAAATGGTCCAGTATTGTTGGAATAGTAATGTTAACCCTTGCTGCTAATTCACGCATAGATTGAGGTGGATTGGCTTCCACTATAGCTTTCAATTCATCATTTTCCACCTTGGTCTCAGGAAACCCACATGGCTCATTGTCAAGATTAAGAATCACCAGACTAAACTTTTCAAATCATCGATGTACTAGCCACATCCTTCCCAAACACTTCGTTGATATCTTGAGCTGTCTGCGCTGCATTGGTTCCATGACGGAACTCATACTCAGAAATAACGCGGATTTTTGACTTATCCATGGTTTCACAAAAATTTGACAGATAATCACAAGCCAAACCTTACATTTGAAATAATGATGATGTACCTTCACAATAAAAATAAAATAAGAAATGTGAAAGTGAAATGTCAGCGGTATTAACTGTCAAACTTAATATTTAAGGAAATTGGACATTCCATACTTAATAACCTAATAGATTAAAACTTCTCTAAATGTTTATTATTTCCATCTCTGCCACCTTTTCTCCACCCACCCACTCCCACCCCCAGGACTAATCTAGAAATTTATCACCTCTTTATTGTTTTAAGGCAGATTATCAAATAATAATTTATCAGCTTTGGGAATTAGGCTAACATATTTTACTGGTTAAATATAAGAGACTTGGGTAACTAACCCTTCATCACCCTGCACTATTTTTCATCTGATGAATTACTTGTTTCTCTATAATTTTCTAATCTCTATTAATTTTTACTTCTCAAAGAAGCCTCTTGAAACATTTTAAACCTAATCCCAACTACAAGGAAAGGTTTATAGGAGGAACTCAATTTGAGTGTGGATGTGTGGCTGGGAATAGTTGATGAGAAGCTGAGAACATGTTGCTATTACCTCTGTCTCTTGAGTCTCCCCTTTCATAGATCTCTAAATTGCCTTCAGCTACTTTTAAACTGTATTTCTAATGTGTATAGATTATTCACAGCTTTGCTTTTCTCATCATTAACTCTCCAGGAATTTTTTTAGATGTCTACTACATAATTACTATGCAGATTGCTATGCAGACAAACCTCATTTTGAATTAGACGTGCTATGAAAAATTTAGCATTCACAACTAGGAGAAATGTTAATACTGTCTAGTCTAACATTCACATTTTCATAAAACCCAGGGCTAAAGATTTTCAAACAGGTAGTGAATTTCAAAATTAGGATAAAATCCTAGGTTTCTTGATTTTGCCATTATTCTGTGTGATCAATGGAAGAAAAATTGAGAGGTTTTTTTTTTCTTATACAAAATGATTTTTGGACTTTAAAAATGATCCACTTGGCCGGGCGCGGTGGCTCACGCCTGTAATCCTAGCTCTCTGGGAGGCCAAGGCGGGTTGTTTGAGCTAAGGAGTTCGAGACCAGCCTGAGCAAGAGTGAGACCCCATCTCTACCAAAAATAGACAGAAATTAATTGGACAGCTAAAAATATATAGAAAAAATTAGCCAGGCATGGTGGCACATGCCTGTAGTCCCAGCTACTCGAGAGGCTGAGGCAGGAGGATTGCTTGAGCCCAGGAGTTTGAGGTTGCTGTGAGCTAGGATGACGCCACGGCACTCTAGCCTGGGCAACACAGTGAGACTCTGTCTCAAAAAAAATGATCCACTTACCTGTGTAACATGTTAGAAACATTGTGGCATAAAGTGAGGTTTGCCTCGTAATTGATTGCTACTGTTATTGGCTGTCTGTCTCTCTCTTTTATCCTCCTGATAACCTTTAACAGGCAGTAGTTCCGATTTGGAATGAGGGAGATATGAGTGGGGCCCAGCTTCTCTTCAGTCACTGTGCTGTAGCCAGTTTATTGGGACATTTTAGTGTATTGCCAAGATGTCTTTGTTGTGTCTTGATGTTCTGTGAGTGTAGGTTTTGGATAGTGGAAAAACATTGTTTCCTGTCTCTTAGACCTCTGAGCAAAATTTCTAGCAGGTTTGCAAAAGTATCATGGCCTGAAAGGGCTGGGAGACTCATCCTGTTTTTTGCTGTAAGTTTAATAGAGAACTCAAATGTTCCTTCTATAGAATAGAATGGAAGGATTTTATAAATACGGAATACTGTTCCTTTTTTTATTAGATTGCTCAGATTCCATTCTGTGGGGAAATTGACTGTGAAGACTGGATCAAAAAGACCACTGCCAGGTAAGCGTAATTAAATGGTCCAAACTCATGAGGTATTGCAATGGAAAGGAATAGCAATATACAGCATAAATGAATGAAATTATCACTTGTTTTTAATTTTAGGGATCAAGATCTTGAACCTGGTGCTCCGTCCATGGGCGCTAAAAGCCTTTGCACCCCCTTCAAACCACTCTGTGAACTGCAGCCTGGAGCCAAATGCATCTGTGGCAAGAAGCCTGCCAAGTACTACACCCTATTTGGTCGTAGTTACTAAAGGATAAAACAAAACCCCCTCTCCAGTTCTCCTGACTTTTTAAAAAAACTGATATTAATATCTTCTCAGATACAGTTTTATGATTTTTTTTAAATAAAAGCTCTAAAAGGAAGTCACATGACACAATTATTCTTATGCCCAAATTAACTGTGGAAAAGGCTTTTCTGTAAACAACCCCAGTAATAAATATCATACACTAATACTGTTTTATGTTATTCACTTTTTCTGAAATGCATTATGTGCTACAAGGAAATTCCTACAGAGAGATGAAGATAGTTGAAAGCTAGGTAACTGTTGTTGATCTAAACACGCCTCGAGATGTCTCAGACCTTGAACCACCAATTATCCCCTGTGTTGTGTATCTTGAAGCACTTCCTTTCCGTAGCTCCTAATACTGAATCTAAAATTGCCCTGAATCTTTCTGTTTAAAAAACAAAGCAAAACCACACATGGAAAAATAATAGTAATAATAATAAAGCTTTTCCTTGAGCTTCTCTTTCCCCCTGGTTACTGTTGGGTCTTTGGAAAAAAGCTCATAGTTTCTGAAAGAGTGATCAACCCTCGTGGCTTCTACTTCTTATTCTGTACTTTTCCTCACCCATCTGCCCCCACCGCAAGACGGTTTTTACTGAGATCACTAAGAACGCTTCTGACCAAAGGTAATGTTCACTTCTTAGTTTTTTATCTTACCTTATCACTCTGCTGCATTTAGTACTCTGTTTATTAAAATTCCTGTGACCTGCCCTCCCTCTCTAACTCTTTTTGTTAGTTATGAGTCTTTCACTGGCCTTTCTTCCTTGGCCTGCTTCTTAGACATTGGTGTACTAAACTTCCATAGTTGGCCCTCTCCTGCTGCTGCCTGATCATCCTCATCTAGTCTCACAGTTTCAAATGGCATTAATAGGCTAATGACTCCAACATTTTTTAGCTCTAGGTCTGAGCTCTAGACCCTATTCCAGCTGCACACTGAATTCTCTTGAGTGTTGCATCAACAGTGCAGGTCAACATGTCCCCAAAACCTCATTTCACCCTCTACCCCTAGGCCTCCTTCTCCTCCTATAGTATTTCCTGCCTGGAAGATTAGCACTGCCAAAATGCACCCAAACTAGAAAACTAAGAGTCATCCCAGGCAGCCCCTCCAACATTGTCATCCATGTTCATTTGGTCAGCAAAATATGTTTCTGTTACCTCTAGTGTCTCTTGGGTCTCCCCTTTCATAGACCTCCAGATTGCCTTCAGACCTTGGTACCTCTTGTGATGATTACTGTAATGTCCTCTAGTTTCCTCTCCAGGCCACTCCACATTTTCACGTGTTTTTTTCTATAACAGACAATTTATTAAAATGTTTTTCTTCCCCTTAAAACCCTTTTGTGGTTCACCATCATTTACAGGATAAGATTTAAACCCCTTAGACTGGGCTGGCTCAACACCCATCCAGTTATTTTCTTCTGCCAACCCAGCATAGTCCTTTGCAACCTATCCATTTGGGATTTCCTGCAAACAACACATTTCCTGTCTGTCCTTTGCCTGGAGTGCCTTTTGTCCCTCATTTCTAGTCTACTTGGTAAATCTCTTATTTCAGGTCCCTGTTCCAATATGCTTTTCCGCTTGGTAGTGATAAACATTAATACACCAGTAGAGGGAAAAGACTTCAAAAAGGACTTGAATTTTGAGCTACACTCTAAAGGATGAGTAGAATTGCAATAAATAGAGGAGGAAGGACATTCCAGGCAGAGGGACCAAGGGATGCAAACGCACAAAAGTGCATGGTATGTATGAGAACACTGAAGAATTGTTCTTAATGTTGGTAGGGAATTACCGATTGAGAGCAGATTAAATAGAGCATGCTTTCAACTGATGTTTGAGTGTGTGTGTGTGTTCACATACCTAGTTTAATGAGATCAACCGAATATATGAGCCACATTTTTATACTCAGAACCATAATTTCCTATTGATTTATGGCAGTTCATAACGCTTTATCTTACTCTATCCTTAGTAGCTATGTAAACTGCCTGTTTCTTCAGTTGTAAAATAGAGAGTCTAATAACACCTATCTCATAGAGTTATTCTGCCTCATAGAGTAAGATAGAACAATGCCCAGCACATACTAGTAAGTAAGAGCTATTGTTGATTATAATTCTCCAGGGTCAACTGGAAGTAGCTTCTAATATATAGCTCTAGTTATAGTAGTTACTTTAGCTACTAATTATTTTTCTGAAAACCAACAGAAATGCTTTTAGGGGACAAGGGTTTTTGTTGTCAGTTCATGACAAAAGCTTAAAAGCTCTAGATTAGAGACTAATAACCACACATTTTGCTTAGCCACTTTGGAAAAGGTGGCCATCTCTGGTGCAAAGACAAATCCCCACTCTATTTTTTGAAACTTTAGATGTGTAGGACTAATCACAGCAAAGCTTGAAGTTTGCTGCTTTAAAGGAAGTCAATATTTAAAGAAACTCTGTAGTGAGTAATTATGTTAAGGAAGGAATCCCTCACCCAAAATGTACCTCTTATAAATTGGCTTTTTTCTTAAATTAAGATTTAGCTAAATTATCAGGACTTTTTCAAATTTCCTATCTTAAGAGTGGTGGTGCCTTTCATAAACCTGAATGCAAACAATATACTTCAAGAAATGAGCACTAGGATTTAGAAGAGTTGAACAATGATTGTAAACATTTTAAGTGATACCCTAAGCAATTTATTTTGCATGCATGTATATTCCATTTTGTGCATAAGAATGATTCATGATAAAAGTATTTAGGAGAGTCTAGAAAGCCCTTTAAAATAAAATGATGACTGATAAAAAAAAAATGAGCACTATTTTACTTGCAGGTGACAGCTATAAACCAGATATATGACTGAGTCACTAAAGTGATTATGTGCCTAATGTTCATTACAGCAAAAAGAAAGTAGGTCAAGACATGTTTACTACTGGCTCTGCTCACTGGGACAAGGGGACCTACACTACATCTTAGCAATTTCTAGTTCATTCATGGGAGTATGTTTAAAATCGTTTTTCATTGCACCAGTAAATCACTTGGAGCCTTTATGAGAATTGGACAATAATGGCAACTGATGGGGCTCAGTTGGAGAGGATTTGAGTCTTGAGAGCAGCAGCAGCAGAACACTTATAAAGTAAGCAAGGAGGGAGGCATTTAGACCAGGGAGTGGATGGATCAGATCACCCCATTGACATCTGTTAGTACTAGTCATCTGCCATGTAACTGGTGCTCAGGGGTTGTCAGTACCATCAAAAAGTTGGGGAGGCAGCTGCTACTATCCTGTTATTTTCAACCATAGCTGTGGCCCTTGGCTTGTCACTTTTACTATGTCTAGAAAATGCTAGCCATTTATTTAACAAATAAATGTGAATGCCTGCTCTGTGTACAGTGTCAGAGGATGCAACAGTGGGTAAAGAAAATGAAACATGATTTTTCCTTTTCTTGGCTGTACATCCTTGAAATAGTTCGATTTGAGATGCAAAACCAGCAATCAGTAGCAGAAAGGGAGATAGGCAATGAATTGCGCTGAGCGTTGTTAGTAAGAGGCCGTAGCCTTGGTGACCCTCACTGCGGCATGGGATTATCCCCACCACCAGCAGCAGCATGCTGAGAACTTTCCTTCTGTAGTGGAGATGATACTACCTGGAGAACTAACCGTTCTCTGCCATACCATCAGGCTTAAAATAACAGGAATAAACACATTTTTTTTGTCTTGCAGTTCAGTAGGCGATGTTAAGCCAACGTCTTTGTTCAACTTGGCTGGAACGTATGAGAGTTTGGAACATCAGATTTACTGAAATGATATAAAAGATTTAATTAAATAAATATCATGTAATAGGGATATTTCAAAGTAAAGTATGTCACTGAAACCAAATTTTGTGATGAAGATACCTGTTGAATGAGGAACTTTAGAGGATATAGAAGCTGGTGACAGTGGTGGTAATATCAGTATTACTTTGTATGTAGGTAAATATCTAATTGTGCTGTTTGTCTCGTTCATTCATTCACTCCCCTAGACAATTATTTCATACCTTTTTCTCCTCAAGTGTACCACGCTTCCCCTTTTTGATTATCAGTTGATCATCTTGATTTCCATTTCACTGGGAAGATAGAAGCAATAAGAGTAGAACCTTTGGGACCTCCCGCCCCGCATCCACCATGTGAAATGGCATCATCACTTCTAGTCCTCATTTTGCTTGCCCTCTCAGCATTTGGCTCAGCTGATTGTCCCTCTGAAACACATTCTTTTTTGGCCTTCAGAACACCACTCTCTTCTATTTTCCCGTTTCTCTCTCTGGTCCTTCCCTCTCACCTCTTCATGTTTTCTTCCCTTTTCTGTCTCCTCACGTTTTCTGGTAACCTCATCCAGTCTCAGGGCTTTGAATACGAGATATTGTCAACTCCCAGCTTCACATACTTCCAGCCTAAACCTCTCTCCTGAACTCTAGGCTCATTCAGCACCCTACGTGGCGTTTCAACTAGGATGTCTCATGGACATGCCAAACTTCGCATCATTTCCACCCCTCCTCCCAACGCTGCTCCTACAGCAGTCATTTTAGTCTTACCTTCATCTCAGTTGCAGCAC